GTCACTTGCTCATTTTCACTTGGCTCCGCCCACACAATCCGCTCAGCTGTGCCAGGCTCATGCCCTTCATTCAGACTGTGTTCGCTGCCTGCAACGCTTGTGCTGTAGGCTTCTGCATGGTTTAGTCCATCACTGCTGTCAGAAACTTTTCAGATACTTTCACTGTCTTTTAGATCAGTGTCCAGGATGGCTACTAAATGCGTGTTAGAGCCACCCCTCCATCAGAGACAGCACAGCTGCCCACTGTTCTCCCGGCAGTCTCCTGTGAACAGTGTTCCCCTCGGTCACTCAGTCGTCTGTAAGTCAGACGATTTTGAAAATACTAGATTCTAAGTCAGACAATTTGATAACCTCATTGTGCACTTCACTTCATATGATTTTCAAGAATTATAGGAATAGATGTTTTATTATAAAATTGAGCACTGAATTATGTAATTGGAAAGGAGCTACCCCAACTTAAGGATTCACAATCACACCAAAGAAACATTTAATCCAGAAAACAAACTTCTTAACATCGTGAGTTTTGTAGAAACGATTGAAGTAAAATATAAATCGTCAGTTTCTTAAAGTTTCATCTTCCCTTAAATCTTAGAACCTTACAAAGTACACATGTTAAAGATCTATGGTACAGGATGATATTAAAGTAAAAGAATTGAAAAGTCAGGAAAATTTCTTTTAAAAATGAATTATTAATATTCTATTCTTAAGTATTATTACATTTAGGAAGGTAACTGAAATACCTACTTTGTTTACTATTAAGAGCCAGGTGCAAAGGGCTAGCATGAGTGCCTACTAATTGAAAAGTTGGAGCTTCAAATTTACCCAGAAGCAACTCAGAAAAAAGGCCTGGAAATCTACTTGTAAGAAATCATCCTTGAGAGCCCTGTGGAGCACAGATCTACTCATGGGACCATCATGAGATGGTGGAATAAATGCTGGAAAACTTCTTAAAAACTCTTCTGTTCTAATTGGAAATTTGAGTCAAAGCACAGTTGCCTAAATTCAGTGGTGGGCCAGCAAATCTGAAAATTTAAACAGGAGTTGAAGATTTTAATGTTCCCTGGGTTCAGAAAGATTATGTTCCTATGAAAAGTGATTGCCATTAGATACCAAACAAAGTACAAACAAGTTCTCCCTACAGAGAACTTGACATTTAAATGGTGTTCAAATTAAAAACAAGAAACAAAACACAAACAAAATACCCCATATTGATAAGACCAAATACAAAGTAAGAAATGAAAGAAGAAAGAAGAAAGAAACATCTGAACTTAATTTAACTACCAGTAGGCTGTTACACCCCTACAAATGGGGCCTCCCTGCAGGCTGAACCAAGAGTCCCTGTGAGGAGGAAGAGGAGGGGGAAGAGAAAGGGAATTCCCAGAGTCTCTCTTACAACAAGGGCACGCCCCTAGGGAGGCATCATCAGACTGATAGGTTGGACTCCACCCTACAGTTTCACACAGGTGCAAGTTGACATAAAAACCTAGCCACCACAGTTCATAAAGGTATGAGATAGAAATGTCTCAACAGAATCTCTGTCATTTTATCTTAATGTGGGTCATTGACAATTGCAGTATTCTTGAAAGATCAATAAATGTTGAACGTGCTACTTCTGAAACATAACAGTGAAGAGAAAGTAACATTTTCATATTTTCTCCATTGCAGATGAGATCATAACGAACATCCGTCTACAATTATCACGAATCTTGGTGCATTTTTTTAATGTTTAAAAAAATTATCAATTCGGAGTTAATACGTATGTCATTCCATAGTTTACTCACATCAAGCAGTATTGTACAATCGCTACCACAGTCAGATTCCAAACATTCTCTTTCTTTCTGGACTCTTTGACATCATCTAGCTTTTACCTCTGCTCTCCCCCTCACCACCACCACTGTGGCCCCACCCCTGAAACCCTTGTTCTACTTGCTGTCCCCATTGGTTCTCCAGTCATATACTGAAAGACAGAACAGCATATAACACAACTTCAAGCCGGTGATCTACTTGGTGTATTTTTGTAAGAAAATATCTAGGATAGTGTTTTGATGGACTTGTTGTTTCTGAGCTATTCATACTCTGTTCTAAAAATAGAAAGCACATATACCACAAAAATGATTTTAAAATGTTTTCTTATTCCAAAAAGTGCTCAGAAAATCATGGATGTAAAAAGGCTGATGTTTTGTGATACATTCTAAAACCAAAAATCATAATCAAGTTAAAGGACCTCTCCCCCTTGCTTTTCTCAGTGGAGTTGTGTGACCCAATTACTCCCCTTTACACTTATTGAATTTTTAATGTGAAGCAAACTATAATTGCATTTTTTGATGTGCTTACCTGTGTGCATAAAATATGAAGATTTTTCTGGTTCCCATAAAAAGTGTTATACGTCTTCAATAAAGAATTAAGTTGGTCTCTAAAGCAAAAAAAAAAAAAGAATTCGATTACAATTGGTTTTAGGCTCTTTTATGGCAAAAGGCAATAACAGTGCTTTCCGTTTGGACCAAGCTGTGCTGTCTAGGAAAACAAAACCTCTCAAGTGGATAAGAAAGAATTTTTTTATATCAGCAAGTAATTTTATATCAAGAAGGCATCCCAGGCCAGTCCAGTGTAAGTCCATGGGTCAGCTGCTGGTCGGAGCTTTTCCAACTCTGAGAGCTGCAGGCTGGTGACCAGAAACGTGCAGCAGGACGCAGGCCGGTCACAAGGCAGCAGTGCAGAGTAGTGGGGCTCCGGGGTCAGCGGGCACATGGGAGGGTGACAATAGCTCTGCAGGTTGGTGGCCCACATACGGCCAACCCAGGAGGCAGAACAGAGAGTCCCGGCCACGAGGAAGGTGAAAGGAAGAACAGGGGAACGACGGTGTCTCTCTTAGGAAAAGGCCATCTCCACATGGAAGCATCGTCAGGCTGTGACAGGGTTGATAGGTTGGAATCCACCCTGATACATTCACACAGGTGCAAGTTGACATGCAGTCAAACTGCCACACAGTTCACAAAGGGAGGAGCCAACGTGTCTCAATGGAATCTGTCACTTTATCTTAATGTGCACCATCGACAATTGCAATATTCCTGGAAGATCAATAAATGTTGAAGGTGCTACTTCAGACATAGATAACAAAGAAGGGAAGACAACTGAAGACAAACGTGTTGAGGAAAGTATTATGTGGAAGGCATTAGACATCCAAAATTGGGTTGCTTGTTCCTTTTTATTTTCTCCAATAATTTGAACCCTGGTGGCACAGCTTAAACCCACCAACCCCTCTGTGGGAGAAAGGTGAGACCTTCTTCTCCCTTAAAAGAGTTATAGTCTCAAAAATCCATGGGGGGCAGCGCTACTCTGTACCATAGGGTTTCTTTGAATTGGACTTTACTGGAGGACAGTGAGTTTGCTTTTTAGTTGAAATTAAGAACTTATTACGCACCCCACAATTTGTTCTCTGGGGCTGCAGCAATCACTAAGGAATGGTTACTGTTCCTGAGGACATCACTTCGGGTGGCAGGAGGACGATTGGAATTCAGGCACCTGCCTCTCTTCTACCCTTCACTCGGTGACAGCACAGCTCGCGACACTTATCCTACATCTTCACACGACAGGTCTTTAGAAACCAAGTCTTTCTCTGTTCTTGAATGGAGTAATTGTAAGTACATGGTCCACTTACGTATGCAGAGGAGACATAGCTTATAGATAACAGGCTTAGATGCAGTTAGTCATCTAGAGTTTCTCTACTTCTTTGGGAATACATTTTATATATTTATGTATTTATATACTTAGAACCATTCTCACTCTTAAAATACTTTTTAGTTCTTGTAGAAAATGCCCATCAGGACAGTCACAGAATCATGCCCCCAAGTCAAAGCCAGAAAATATTATATTAAAATACAATTCCTTCATTGTACAATGAAGAAAACTCCGTGGCATAGTGATTAAAGGACACGGCTGCTAACCAAAAGGTCAGGAATTTGAACAATCAGCCGCTCTTCAGGAGAAAGATGGAGAAGTCTGCTTCCAGAATCATTATAGTCCTGCACATGGAAGCAATTAGTCCAAAGGAACCCCAGTTTTCATGATCCTGAGACCACAGGAACTAGATGGTGGCCAGACAGCACAACTGAAAGGATAATTTTAAAAAAAGATCAGGCTTATAGGTCTGATGGAGACTGGTGGAACCACTGAGACTATGGGCCTTAGTCACCATTTAACTTTTTTTTCCACCTTAATCCATTTTAACTTTTTAAGCCATGCCTGTGACTCAACTTCCAGCCAAATAATAGGTTTATAAAGTGAACAAAACACCAGAGGAATGCACATTCCCAGAACAAACAGTCCAAGATCAAAGGGCAGTATATACCCAGGGGGTAAAGCTTAAAAGGGAAGCAGGAATAGCAAAGAAGCACACATAGGAATGGTAAACACAGGGAGGACATGGTAAATGTGCTGCTGCATTGTGGGCATTGCGCTAACAAAATCACAAATTAAAATATGAAAAAGGATTAAGTGGAAAACCAATGTGCTCTGCACACTTAACCCAAATTACAAAAAAACCCCAAAAACCCTAAAACCAAACACACACAAATATCATAGACACTGTGTTAGTCTGAGTACTTTAGAGAAACAAATCCACAGAAACTCATCTATAAGAGAGAATTTTATATAAAGGTTAAGTGTGCATCAAGAAAGCATCCCAACCCAGTGCTGCCCAAGCCCACAAGTCCAACATTAGCCCATATGTCCAACACCAATCCACAAAGTCCTCTTCCATCTCACAAAACACACACTATGATGCCGACTGCAGGAGGAAAGCTGAGTCAGTGAACGTGTAAGCATCTCAGCACTGGCAGGGGTCTCCACACAGCTGCTCCAGCACCCAGGGTTGCATCGGGGTAGGTCCATGCAGCTTCTTCTTGTGGATATCTTACAGGAAGTGAGCCGTGCCAGCTGAAGCATAGAATTGGCTAAGGCAGCTGCACCCTGGTCCACCAATCAGAAAGCAAGAGACTTGATAACTAGAAAGGCAAGGCTCACTGAGCCATTTATCCCTCCGCCCTTCAATTAACCCACATGTGTTTATCAGAGACATTGGCACAATTAACTAACTACCTCAGACACAAACCCATGCACAGGAAGATGGATTGTTTATAATCAAATGAATAGTAATGAATGGCAATGAACCCCAAAGAACTGAGGGATGGCCTGAGGCTCTTGACAAGGAAGGGTTTAACAGAGTGGGGACCCTGATCTAGACTTTTAGTCTCCAGAACTCTGAGAGAAAAAACACAATTCTGTTCTTCAAAAAGGGAGAAAGAGTACAGGCTTGGAAACCCTGTGGAGGCATGTCTAATCTGTCCTGTGTAGTCACTATGAGTCAGAATGACTGGAGGGCAGTGGGTTTGGGCACTGTGTAATTGAGATGTGACCTTCAAGGAAGCCATCCGCTGTTCAGGCCCCACGGATGAACAGTCTGGATTGTTCCAGGCCTCTAATCTTATTTTTCTCCACATATTTGATTTTCACCCAAGATATGTAAAGGAAAATTAGTCAAGAAGTATTCAGCAATTCTCATAGAAATGTTAATCATGGTTTTATGTTTCCAGGAAATGTCATATAATAAAACTCCCAAACCCGTTTCCTGTCCTGCTAAGAAACTCTACACGGAGCTCTTCTTTCCCAGCCATTAGGGACCCACCCTTTCTATCATTCTAGAGGACACAAAGCCATCAAAGCCATTTAAACACTGAGCTCCAGTCACGTGCCTCAGGAACATCTACGCACTTTTTACATACGGCCTCATTTAATGCTCATGCCAACTCTGTTTAGACTTGTATGATACTTAAAGAAACGGAAAATTCCAGAACCCATGATCTGAACCACTGCTCTAAGTTTCTTTCTGAGGAAAGAGGCTGGTGGCGTCAAATGGCTAACTTTGCAGGTACGGTAGCAGCCCAATGCGCAGTCCGCTACGCAATCCTTCATTTCATTGAGCTCCCGGGTCATGGTAGGTAAATAAGATGCCTGCAGATCTATAGATGATAAATGACCTCTGAGAACCTAGCAGAAGCATCTGAACTCTTCAGTGGGCTAGAGTTTGAATTAAAACAGACTCAGGTAAAGTAAATTACTCTCTCTATTCTGATATTTGGTAAAGGTACCTTTTTAAATTGTGAGATTGCAAGGACAAAGGTTTATTGATGAGCAAAGGAGGGTGTGGTGACTGTAATACACAGATAGCTGATTGTTGGGTGTTGGGACAGGGAAAGCAAGTGATTTTGTTGATCTCAGAGAGTAGAATCATTTGCCAAGCAGAATGATTGCATTAATGCTACTTCTCATGAAATGCTTCTGCAAAATTCCATTTGTCAGCTCTATGCCCGACCTTGGGTAAAATTGCATCCAAGAACTATTGTTTAATAAAGAAATGAAGCTGAGTCAAAGCTATTACACTCCCCTGATGGGCACAGTTAAGATCTGACCACATCATCATGCAAAACTCTAGTTAATATTTCATTAGAAGTTTATAAGTTAACTGTCACTAGCTTAGGAGAATCCCAGGAGACAGTGCGGATCCAAATCTAGAAAGTAGGAAAATGAGCAGAAAGGCTAGCATGGGCACTCTAAGTGTTGGTGAGGTGGATGACTAAAGGGAATCACAGGAGGGCAGGGCTTCCTCTAGGTCCCTAAGGGAAGTTGTGGAGAGTGAAGGTGTGGAGGAGTGAGCAGTCAGGGAAGGACAGCAGCATGTGCTATGGAGAAAAAGGAAGGGTTAAGGTATTACTAGCTGTGGTGGTGAAGATAAGGAAAAAGAGATGAGAGCAGGAGCAATTTGCTCAAAGTAATCATAATAGAATTTCCACTATCTCCCTCTCATCTCCACATCTACCCCCCAAACTGTAACTGTACCTATCCGCGTCTTCCAGAGCTAAGGCTGACTCATTCACTTGCATACTAAATCCTATGTTTTCCCTCAAGGTAATTCCCTCTTCTCACTTTTGAATCATAAAATTTCCTCTTTTTCGTAGCGTTCCTGTCAGCATGTTGTTGCTAGTTGCCATCAAGTTAGCATACAGTCTTTGGTGATTCCAAAAACAACAGGATTGAACCATGATGATTCCCAGGGCTTTCATGGGCTGATTTTCAGATCACTAAGCCTCTCTGCTTAGTCTGTCCTAGTCTGGAAGCTCCCCTGAAACCTGCTAGAATTTAGCAACATAAAAGACCCCACTGTGGAATGGATGATGCATTGTCTTGGAATCAAACTTGGGTTTCCCTCATAGAAGGCAAATATTCTACTTCTGAATTTCCACCAAATCACCAATTTTTAAAAAATGGACTAGATTCTGGATATTCCTACATCGACTCCTTTCATTATCTCTTGAACTTATTCCAATTTCTATCCAATCGCATTCATTGTCATCGAAC